TCCCAAATTTGGAAACTAAGTAAAATGGTTTCTGTAGAGCAATCAGTAACAGGTATTCGACGAGGTCAAATCTCATGATCTCAATGGAAATCTCAACTTTGCAGTCTTCTTCTTTAGTGAAATTCATACATTGATTTTCATCTTCGAGCTGTATTATAGTTGATATTTGCTTCGGGGCAATTAAATTTTATCTAATACTCCTACCCCTGGTTAATGAATTGGTATTGTAATTCTTAACTAACTGTTACAGTCACGTTTAATCAAAATCAGCTGGTCTGCACTATTGTCTACACGTTGTAAAATATCTTTCCCTGCTTAGTATTCTCTCTACAAAAATTTAATAAAATATCGCCTGGAAATCTATCGACCCCCCTTGAATTCTCCCTATCAATTGCCTTTAGATTAAATATGAAGAATATGATTCACTAAATTTCAAGTCGGAATGTTGGGTAGTAATTTGTTGAAAAAAAGTATGAGAAGCAATCTAGCAACATCTGCGGGCTGATTATTGAAATTTATATAGAAAGAAAACAAAGAACACGAATGGAAAATGGAGCAGTTCTATTGGTTGAAACGGGTGGCTGCAATGGACGGAGGCAAGACTATCTAACGGCTCACGAGAGACCCTTTGGCTAGTCCATAATTTGCCCCCTTAGTCTATTATAACCACTCGTTCCAACGAAGAGGATCGCTCCAGTGGCGTGGCGTGGACTGCGATGTATCGATTGTTGTGCCATTTAAACCTATGGTAAAGAATCGAATATGAAGGTGTTCGCTGCGAACACCCTGTTTATCGATCCTGTGTTTAGGCTGATTTTGGTTAAACTCATCCACTTATGATATTTGGATCGCATTTAGCAAAAAGGAACCAGCGAAATTACAGTATTGTAAAACTGTTACTCCTTCATAATTATCTAAAAAGTCTCTCAGATGAGCAGATAGTTTTTGCTTCCTACCAAAAAATCGTTGCTTATGTTTCGCTTAAATCCGCTTATGTTCCTTCACAGAGAAAAGTTTAGGGCTCCCAGGAAAAAGTTCAATATCGACTGGACAAAATAATAACGCAATGCCGTTTGTAATGAGTCGGTCAATGTCGATCAGTGGGGAACTCTGCCGTGATGAGGAAAAACGCCATATGATCATTCGCACGTTGCCAAATTTCCTCTCAGGAAATATTCATTTTTGAAGAAAGTAATGAACATTTTTTCTAGAAATGTTTAGACTATTTAGATCAAATTTCGAATGAAATTCTCTGAAAAATCGGAAGAAAAATGTTTATTAATATCCCCGAAAACTCGTGATGTATCAAAGGAAATTTGGCAACGCCTGAAGGTTCATGCGGCGTTTTTCCCTAGCACCAGATGATACTTTGCCGTATGAACTTGAAAAGCATCGCGGAAATATCTAATAGAGAATGCGAGGCGGATGCGTTAACACCATCATTAGATACAGCTCAACTCGTTAGTGCATCATTATACGCTCCTGAGGTGTAGCCTCGCGTCCACGATTCTCATGGTGCAGTTGCGGCTCGACACCAGTCTTCTGGAGATCAATCAAAGTTCACGAGTGAGACCGCATGAAACAACACATTCGCAGTGATTTGCAAATGGAACATGATTGTTGCGCCAGTTTTTGAGACTTGGTAGTGGTGTTTTAGGGCATCCTTCTGCGTGCCTCAGACCATACACCTTCTCTGAAATTGTGTTTTCAGGTGTGAATAACGGACCAGGAGATTGGGACTCCTTGGTTTTCTCGAGTTTTTTTTGTTTTTTATTTATTAAATTATATCTCTGAAAGTGTGCAAAAAAAAGTGTGACGGACTCTTAAGACGTTCTAGATTTGGTTGTACATTAATTTCGATGGTTATTTGCCCATATGTGAAACTGACATCTTGATAGCCGATTTGTAAATTTTAATAGAAGTGTAAACCACCTGCCTCCTGAGCAGTCTCACCAGAATTTTTAGTCTTGTCAGGAATAAGGTAAGCAGTCCTTAAAATTTTGAGAATTTAAAATACTTTAAATGTAGATAATGAAGAAGCAAATGTTCGTGACAGTCATCGATAAAAAGAACCTTAGTCATGGAGACAGTTTTTTGTGGAGATCAATTTTGGTTATTTCATTTTCAACTGATACCTAACTGATATCTTAGAGAGTTTTCGACAGCCTCGTTCATGACCAGGACTAACGGGACGGACTGATAGGTCGTGGTTCAATAGGTTGTGTAGAATTACATTTGAATCCGAAAATGTTGAGCCCCTAGCTAGAGAGATTGATATTTCCCATTTTTTTCTCAAAATTATATTTTCCTAAATTTCAACCAACGAAACATCGGTTTGTATCAGTGTCGGCATTTTTTCTGCCAAAATTCACGAGCAAAAATGCACTTAGATATCCCTGAGAGGTGGTTTCTGCATCTAAATTTTGAAATTTTTCCATACGGTTATTTTTTCGATGGGCGGTCTCTTTTGCTTGGAATATGATGAAAATCGTACTTCCTTTTCATTTTTCAGCGTGCTGAAGATCTAGCAACGTATATTATTATATTGAAATTGTATTTTGTCGTGTTCAATTCATTTTTAAGCCACGTGTAACATTGGAATAAGTATACGATACTATACAACTTGCATTTTAACAAGGTTTACATTTGCAAGAACTATCCTCCCATATAAATTTTCTTGGGATGCGATATTCATACAATTACACCAGATAAAAGAGGAGAGCCGGGGAGAAAGGAGAAGAGAAAGAAGGGGAAAAGGAGGAAGGAGAGGAAGATAGCGGTAGAAAAGGGAAGGGGAATAGAAACAAAGGAGCGAAAGAGGAAAAAGTAGGGGTGGGAAGGAGGACAGAGGGAGAGGGGAAAGAGAGGAAGCACGGAAGGAGAGGAGTCCTATTACCACTAGGGAAAAACTTCATAATAGTAAATACTGGAAGTACAGTAGTAAAACAGTAAAGTAGTAAAATTGGACAATACGGTACGGTACAGTACAGTTAGTACAACAGTAAAGCTCTGAAATCCACTTGCTCTCAACATGTTTCAATCGAAGGAAAATAGTATAAAGATGAAATGAAGTGAAAAACCTCACAAATGAATTACATCAAAATCACGTACATGTGCTGTCAAATTCAGATTATCAGAGAAAAAGTACCCGATATTACCTTACATAAGCTCATCATTATTTTTCACAATGTTTTAATCAATGAAAAATCTGCAATATTTTTTCCCTCTTGATCGTGACTTACACACACAAAAATATGTCAAAATGACGTAAAAATATCGTGTAGTTACTTGAAACCTATTTATAAAAATAATGTATCATGTTTTTGGTCAATTCTCATTTGGATATAAGTATACAAAAGTAGCCACATATTATTTTCAAAATACCTACTCGTATTGCTTTCGTCAATAAAGTTGTAAGTTCAGTAGTTCCTATTACGTTTAAAAATTCATTTACCTTTCCTTCCTTGTGCAAACACAGCTTTTAATCTTACTACCGCGCATACCTCCCAGTCTTGCAGGCAAATGTAATTACAGTTGGACGTCCAAGGTTACATTAAAGCAGAAGGCGTCATGTCAATCAGTTTGCGTTCAATTGCAAAGATAGCGAAGGAACAAACAAAGCAGGTCTGGAACTCATGGAAAAAGTTTGAATGATCTGCGATTCAGATATCCTAACGTCATGAGAGAACAAAAAACGTTGACAGTCTCTTGATCTCTATACTTTTACAGTATCTGCAGATAATCGACGACCATCATGGATTGAGTAAATGGTCGAGCGTAAAGTTTTCCCATCGCAAACAGGATTTTCCTATTAATTCATTGTCACCCCCCCCCCCACCCCCCTCCAACCACGGAGGAACGTAACTCCATTTCAAAGTTGCCAAATTATCCCTCCCAAATCGTACCATTCGTCGCTTGGCTGACATAAGGGCGTAACCACACATTGAGATGAGCCCGGAAAATCATTGAGTTGTATGAACGACAGGGTTCATTGCAGAGCGTAGTTCAGAGGCGAGGCGGGAATTATCGATATTTCCCCATTTGAAACTACGGTGAAGAATCGATTATGAAGGTGTTCGTCACATTAGTCGGCCTCCTATGGTGTAGTGGTTGTAGCGCTTGCTCTATAATCGGGAGGTCCCGGGTTCGATTCCCGGCCAGGCGACCCGAGTTTGATGGTCTCAAACAATGGTTGCCTGGGGCTGGTTCAGTAGGGACGGAGGGGGGATGGGACTTAAAGCGTGGGATTAGCCCTTGTGGGCTATTTGAAGTAGTATTAAAAAAAAAAAAAAATCACCCTGTTATTCTATCCATTGACATAGGTTTAAACGGCAGATCAATCGATATATCGCGAATCACGCCCCGCCACTGGTGTAGTAACGAACTTAGGTATGTCAGGAGGGCGACGATTCATCTGGATTATCTTGGGCCTTTTTAACCGAAAATTTTACTGATTTTCCCTCTGATCTTGGGCAAAAATCAGGAAAAATCGAGACAAAAATCGCCGGAAAAATTGGATTGTCAATTTTGCAACCCTAGAATAGAGTTACGTTCTTTCGTCCTGGAAACGACGAATTCATAAAGCCTTCGCTCTCCTGGCATAAGGACGTAAGTGCACTTTACGATGTAGCCTGTCGTCCATTTAACTCAATGCTTTCCCGGGCTTATCTGAGAGTGTAGTTACGCCAATTGGACGTAATTCTGCCAAACGGAACTATGTGCATTGAGACAGTTAGTTTGAGCCCCGAGACCCATAAGGATATATGCATACCAGGGCTCACGTCAGAATGCACGTAGTTCCATTTGACAGAGATGCGTCCAATTTGTGAGTCGAGGGACGAATCCACGCATTGTAATTAACCTAAACGTGCTGCAACTATAGCTGATCGATCATAATGACATAATTATCTCCACAGGATTGACGATCGACGCTTCCACTTCCGAAGAGGAAGTGAAAATGTACCACAACGTATGATTCCTGCGGCGCGATCTCTCATGGTAATCATTTCAACGATTTTCATGCTCAAATTTCGCCAAAATGGATTATAAATTTGCCATCATTGGTAAAACATTTGAAGCCCGGAAAAATTATGTTCATGCGCTGGTGGACGAGTCAGCTCTTTTGAGAGAGAAATCTTGCAGTCAACTCCGATCTCTTTTGTTAGGTAAGAATAGTATAAAAACTTTGTTTTCGTTTTCATTTTTTTACACCTACAGGGCTTTTCCTGAATAGCATTTTTCAACGGAAAAATCGTGATAATCTCAGATTCAGATGCTATTTTTTACGAGGTTTTGGTAATAGCATCGATAGGATTTTTAACATCTGAGAGATTATTCTTGATCTTGTCGTAATTTTATCTCTATAAAATCGCATTCGATGGAATTGTTTCATCTGAATTTACCACGATTTTTCGTCTGATGATATTGCGCTACATTGCTGTCGAAAATCGTGATTTTATCACAAAGTCATGTGATGAGATGGCAATTTCTTATCCGATAATTTTGCAATAAACCGACGTCGCTATAATCGCGATACATTTTCCGGTCAAATCGCAACTTATCGCTATCACTGCGCTTCTTGGGCTTCATTCCTCATTTCAGCTTTTGCAAGCTATTCCTCCTAATTTTGATTTCAACGTGCGATACACAAATACCATAGATTTTAATTTATAATTGAACAGCTGTAATGAAAATGCAATCAATTCATGCAAATCCTATATATAAAGGCTCCCTTAAAAAAAAAAAAAAAAAAAAAAAAAAAAAAAAAAAAAAAAAAAANAAAAAAAAAAAAAAAAAAAAAAAGCTCACAACTGAACGCCTAGAGACCTCCACCATTAAATTGTGCTTTTCTAAAACGAAGAGTTTGATTGAAAACTGACTTTCCCGCCTTTATTTGATGATGCCTCTCGAACAAACCCCAAATCAAACTGTATGTTGACGAGGCACTAGAAAAAAATGTTTGGCATGAGTACACACTATAGAGATTTTTTTTTANGGGGGGGGGGGAAGGTGCGAGGGTTAAACTGAACTACATTTTGAAATTTGGACCTATAGATTCTAACCCCGTTTAAAAACAACGTATGTGCCATTATTTTCCCAATGCACATAAGTGTTTTTCCAGAAGAGCCAGAATTTATAGTTCCAGTCCAACTGATAAAGCGGTTTTCTACATGCAATATTTTTTCAATCGAGAATTTTTCCTGTTGTCCCGTTGCCATATCGCGCTATGACAAAACACCGCATCTGGTGAATCACCATCAATGGCAATTTTGCAAGTTGGCAGTATTAATTTTCCTCCATTTAAATCGATCAAAAATATCGAATTTAGGAAAGACAAGCAGCCTCACCAAGGATCGATTGTTTTACATACATTTAAATGGATATCAAAACAGTGTTGCGAAATAGTAGCGTGGCGTGCTTTGCGATACATCGATTAATCTGTCATTTAAACCTATGAAAAAGGATCGATAAACAGGGTGTTCGCAGTGAAAACCTCAATAATCGATTCTTTACCATAGCTTCAAATGGGGAAGTATCGATGGTCGATCATTCACGCCACGCCATTGATTACCTTTGATCCGCATGCATAACGTTCCAAGATTTAATACTGTAATTAATAAAAAAGTTTTTTTGATGGGACAGACGACACGAGATTCAGCTCCATCTTCAACAGCTCTTCAATGTCGATGGATAATCGACAATTGAGAGAGAAAAATCTTAAACCACGTTCTTGAGATATTATTTTCTTTTCGAGTGGGTAAAAACCCCATACGTAAAATTATTTAAAATGCTGTTGGAAGTGATCTAGAATTAAAAAGGAGCTTGAAAATTCTACAAAATAGAAACATCACAAATGATAAATTTTAATTACATTTATATTTCACTATGATTTATGGGATTGCTTTAAGCATGCAGATTAGTCACAATACAATTGTGTCACTGTGGTTTTAAATGGACTGCATTTTGCAATTTGGAACTATAAATTATGGCTCATCTGAAAAAACACTTACGTGCGTAGGGGAACTAATGGCACATACGTTTTTTTTTAAACTGGACCAGAATTTATAGTTCCAAATTGCATAATGCAGTCTAAATATATATTTTAACTATGATTTCAACCAAGACTACCGTAAGAAAACGAAATATTCAAGAATCGAAGTTTTCATCAGCCTCAGTCTTAAATCTCATGAGATTATAATTTTTTGAAGGCAGAATTTTACAGTGTTATAATATAAATATTCCGACGCAACAATTAAGATTTGTTTTCAAAATTTCACATCTTTAGTTTCCATTCTTAAATGTTGTTTTGAACGGAAATTTTGTTTTTTCAGAGGAAAAGAACCTACGAACAAGCACTGATGACATTTTTTTACTGAGATTTCTGAGAGCGACGAAGTTCAACGTTTCAAAAGCTCACTCCATGGTGAGCCACATTATTGCTCAATGTTTCAATGTAATTTTTGGCATTTCATTAAACCCAAATTTCTTTAAAATTGGTCAGAAAAAATATCTCAATACCTTCATTTTCTCAAAGTATTGTGGTTCTTAAATTATTCGTATTCATGCCTAACTGCAAAAAAAGGCAATAAGGGTATTAAGAATAATGTTTTCAGAAGAAACTCATCTTGCAATGAGTACGTATTAAGGTTTTTTTACCATTATTCTTTCAAATAAACTAATACGCTCTTCATTTTGCTTCCCGCGTTTATGTATGTTAATTTTGTTCGCAGCTTTTGGAACCTAACTTATGTGAAGACTTGAGATGCAGGCAAAAATTGTCAAAGCTATCCAATATTAATGCTTTCATCTATGCCTGAAACCACCATACTGACGTGCTAAAGAAGAACGTCGTATGAACATTCGAGAGTTGCCACATTTTCCCAATAAAGAGTTTATTTTTTATGAGAATTATCAATAATTTTCCATTAAATTATCAGACTTTTTAGATCGAATTACAAACAAAATTACCCGAGATATTAGAAGAGAAATTCCCACAAATTTTCTTGAAAATTTGTAATTTATCAAAGGAAATTTGGCATTTCCTGAAGGTTCATACGGCGTTTTCCCCTAGCACGGCAGCATACCCTATGCATATTTTTTACCTATTTTTATAATTATTATTTTAACACTTATTATTTTTTACTTTGTTAAATATTTTTAAAGGCACACTGGATATTTTTACAGATACTGAAATATTACGCAGTGAAACAGAGAAGCCCGGAGATGTGCGTTCCTCCTAGGCCATCAGAAGTTATCCATTTGCTGAGAATGGGAATGCAAAGTTTTCTCGAAGATAGAACACGCGCAGGCTATCGAGTTGGCATTTTTAGATTAGGTTGGTTTCTATCTTTTCTTAAAAGAAAGTCATCTGAGGAATAAGGTAAAAATGGAGATCATTGGCGTAAAGTAATGGAGATAACCACCAATGTAACCGCGTATATTCGGATTAAACATTGTACTGGCGGACTACCGTACACTCATTCTTACAAGTTCGCCTGCAATACCAAAGTAGTCAACGTGAGCGGCTTGGGAGCAGTAATGTGGCCACGTTTATTCAAACATCATATTGATCAACTATTATCGAGTCATTGCAGTGTTTCGCATGCATTCTGATCAGTTCGCCTTCAATATAAATGTAGGCAATGTGAGCGGCTTGGGAGCAGTAATACAGTCAAGTTCTAAAAGAAAAATATCATAATGATGGCTTATATAAGCCATCAGGCCATCACCTAAGCCATAAGCCATGTACCTTCAATGTACCTTCAGTGACTTTACCTCTAATACATTTTTTTACATTCCAGATAAGGTAGATTTCTCGCTCATCGGTTTAGACGAAATTTTCTTAACCAACGTGATGTGCGCAGAGGCAGTCTCGCTGGAGCCGGAAACTCAAAAAACGGGTGTCGTCTGCATAATCGATCTAAATGAGTTTTCCTTGCATCAACATACTTGTTTATTTTCTCCGCACTACTCGAGTCGTACTTTTGAACTTGTTCAGGTAAGCATTTCCTCTTTATATCCCGCCATAGGTTATATCAGTCCTTCCATCCTTCTATAAAACAAATTCAAGGAAAAGGTAGTGAAATAGCTATTGATGTCCCTATAGGATTCTGAATCAGAAATTTTTTCAAAATTCCATGAATTTTCCTTCCAAACCTATCATTCCCATGAGGCGGAAACCCAACTGTAGTGCGTATAGCGCAACGTTATTTGGACATATTTCTATCGAACGGACCTAAGCGCCATAGGGTGAGGAAGGTAGAGGGGGGCTTGGATTAGCGGCGGAGTCGGGCGCCAGGCTCATTCCGTCCTATACTCGCAATGCTTTTCCATGGCGCGTAGGTCCGTTTGACAGAACGCGCTATCCGGGATTCTAAATTCCTCAAAAGGAACTCAAATTGGCGCTTAGTTCTGTTTGATAGAAATACGTCCATTTTTCATAGAGTATTTCTATCTCCCTTACCCCTATATTTTCGGTATAACCCTATGATTCCTGAATTTCAAGCCACAAGCAAGCTTCACTTACTCAACGACGTGATCAGTCGACCGCATCTTTCTTTATATGTTTTTAATCTCTGCGGCAATTAGGAGGATGAGGTGATGTGGCTTTTTACACGGGCAACGTGTCTCGTAACTCGAAGAGACGCCACCTCGGTTCAAGCTTCAGCTTCGACATGTCCATCTCGCACTACATACCTCTTGTGCTCCCGAAGGGACTGATACCTTGTAACGGTTCTAGTCTTAACTTAATAAAAAGCATAAGTCAAATCAATAACTATCTTCAATAATTTTTACAACCTGCTCTCCCACTTGAATAGCGATTCCTATTCTCGTAACACGTCTTGTGACATAGTACCAAAACCCATGTCATAAATACGCGACGTGTGACAAACTGCTTTTCGAGTCAGGGCCGGATTTACCTACTTGCTGCTTGTGGGTCGCCAGTATTTTGCCGCCCCTTCTGATTCGTTTGGAAACATCGATACAAACCATCACGTGAACGTGCCGGAGGAGGAGGGGTGCATAAGACGCGTTTACTCGTATTGGGCTAATATTTTGTGAAAGCCCTGTCAACACTAGCAGAAGTTCTAAGTTCCGTAAACCTATGCCTATGTGGACAAGGCCTCTCATATAAAGAAAAGAACGAAACAATTACGAAAGAATAAACATGAATGTGGTTAAATGATTTTAATTTCCGCCACCGCGCCAACCGCACTGTGTTTGGCGCAATGCGTGAAGTATCCCTACAGTCTTGTAGGCGCTATGCGTTTCACGCCGCGCCGACCGCAGCTGACCGCACTGTTTTTGACGCAATGCGTGAAGTATTCATGCACTCTTGTAGGCGCTATGCGTTTCTCGCAGACCGCTGCTGACCGCACTGTGTTTGACGCAATGCTTGAAGTATTTGTGCAGTCTTGTAGGCGCTAATATGTGTTACATGCCGACCGCCACGCCGAGGGCTTCTCCTTTTCATCTCAAGTCCTCGTCATCATTGCTCTCTGCGCCGCGCCGCTCCAGGCCAAATTGCGTGTTTGCTTTCTTTCTCAACTAGACTAATGAAAGACGCTGTCTCTTGTATCACCAAAAGACGAACTAATGAGAAATTACTATACTTTAACTCTCAGGAAATGAGAGATTTTTTCGCCTTTTCTTGTTTGTATTTTTTTTTTCTTGGTACCTAGATGTGAAAAAATTACCAACATTTGTCGCCCCCTAAATTTGCCGACAAGGGCCGCGGCCCATGTGGCCGCCCCCTAAATCCGGCCCTGTTCCGAGGACTGTGATGGTTTCAAAACTATAGAATACAAACTGACTAATTATTGATTCAGTTTGTCTTCCCTGCAAAAATCAAAGGATGGATTGAGAGAGTGCCGCCGCTAAATGAAGAGAGGGTTCGTTGCAAAAGGAATAATCTATTTGAACAGAATGATTAGACCCACAAGAAAACTAGAAAATACTGAGCTACAGTATATTGATACAGAAAATTAATTTTAATTTAAAAAATCTCATAAAGTTTATCACCTAGAAAAAAAACTGAAAATTTGACTGTGCCAACTGTGAAAAATGGTAGTATGGTAGTAATCGTATTAATGGAAGTAATAATGGTAGTTTGGTAGTAGAATAGTGTGGACCCAGTCGCGTTCTGGCCAGGGATGCTAGGATACATCAGCACCTCAGAAATTCTGACAAGTGACTCAGAGGATCCCAGCAGGACTCTTTCAGAGCCTCCAAAACTTGAAAAACCCACACAAAGGAAGACTTTAAGTCAGTTAGCTCCCCCCCCCCCCTCGAGAAGAGGGGCCCCGAAAACGACTCAACACCCCAAAAATTTTCGAGTCAGACGGACACTGCATGTGTGGATCCGGCACTATCTACCACCTTATTGTTGTTCACCTTATAAACATGTTAACACATTCGGACAAATTTTAGGCCATCATGTTAGTACTGCCGTGCTAAGGAAGAACGCCGTATGAACATTCGAGAGTTGTCAAATTTTTCTTGATAAAACATGTATTTTTGTCGAAATTTATGCATATTTTTCCTTAAAATTCTCAGATACTTTAGATTAAATTGCGTACAATATTGTCTGAAAATTTTTGAAAATAATATTCATTCTTTACCCTGTAAATTCGGTTTTTATCGAAGGAAATTTGGCAACGCCTGAAGGCTCATACGGCGTTCTTCCTTAGCACGGCAGAGTAACTACTGACTTTAGTGAAGACGGGGATCTTGTTTGGGGTCGAGGAGCTTTTCGACCGGTCGACACATGGTCCAAATGAATTTCGTGGAGTCTTTCGGATCAACTACGCAGGTGGCAGGGGCGTAGCCGAAGTTGGCTGCGAGCATGTTCATGACGTCGGGGGCGCAGCGGTAAACCCGGGTATGGTCCTCGTAGCCCTTGGTCTTGTCCTCAAAGGACTTGATAAGCCGCTGGATCTCGAGCTCGATGTCCATCCCGTAAACACGACAGTCCTCCGTCGTTAGGTCCCCTACCACCATCAGCAACATCACCGCTGACCTGCAGTCCCAAGAAAAGCATAGAAAATGTTAAACGGACGTATTTCTATCAAACAGAACTATGTGCAGGTGAGAAATGGACCGCGTTAAACAGAAAAGAACCAAGCCACATCAGCTATTGTCAAATTTAATTGGACGAATTAATTTTTTACACGAAGACGGTTGTGCGGATTTTCGTGCAAATTTCAGTGAATTTTCTCCGTAGTTCGACGCAAATTCCTTAAAAATTTCAAAGGAATCCGCACAAACGTTCTCTCGTAAAAAATTGACTTGCCCAGTTAAATTTGACAATAGCTGATATGGCTTGGTTCCTTTCTGTTAAACGCGGTCCAAATATGGGGTGTGCTATGAAGAGCTGCATAAGAAACAATGTAAAAGTGGGCGTGATTCCTTTTGAAGAATTGGAAAAGCGGGATTTTAGATTCAGCAAAGAGAACTATGTGGCAACTGAATGCGGGATATATGAGCCGCGGGCATGGCACGAGTGCGTTGCGGACAGGGCTCATGAGTTAATGACCACTACGAGGAGCCCCGACGACGGCATCTATCTCCGTTGACGTCACTGGCGCTTTATTATTCTCATTCACTCTTACGGTCGGATAACTGACGAGCAGACCCCATATTCCTCACCTGCACATAAATCTGTTTGAAAGAAATACGTCCAAATAACACTGGTCAAAAAAAAAAAACCTTCGGCGCGTGTACACAGTATACCACCTTTGTTATCGTTTCAACCCCCCTGCTCGATACAATGCAACGAGTGCCTGAGTTGCTTACCGGAAAAAGACTGGCGGGCTCGTCCGGAATTTTTGAGAGCTTGTCTCAGATTTACTACGTCGATTTTTTTATTCTATACGGAAAATTGATATTTTTTTGGGATTGAAATAGTTATCATGGATTCACGATAAAATAAATGCAACCCCAAATGACTGAAGCATCTTGATGTACACATATTTGCCTTCATAAAATTTATTTGCCAGATCAACGAATGGACACATCGACCTGGTATATCGAGTTTCTGCAATTGTTTACGGCAAATTGGTATATTTTTGGGATGCAGTTGGCTTACTTGCAATGAGCCTGTTGCATGCAAGAGATACAGCCGTACGAATAGACTTTTTAGAGCTTAAATGACACGAAATTACGATGGTCACATTAAAAAAGTCTGAAATACACTCCTTACTGCGCAATTTGCGTTGTTAGGAACGCGCTTTTTCAAATTTCCCGCGTCTGGGGGCAGTTTTCTAACGGAAACAAATAACGGCAACTCGCGACTATTTCCGGTCAACTAAAACTGACAACATAACCTAAAAATCGGAGCTCGTGATGTCGTGAAATGAAATGTAGAAGGATTGCGTTGGATATTTAAAAGTTGATCGATTTGGTTACCGCATAAAGCGTATATGAACCACTATAAGAGATCACGTTGGGTTTGTAAACAAACTGAAGGAACAAATAACAACAAAAACGACGACTCGGCAACTTCCGGAAATCACCGAGCCCGCCGTTTGCTCGTTTCCGGTGATCAGAAAACTGCCCCCAGACGCGGGAAATTTGAAAAAGCGCGTTCCTAACAACGCAAATTGCGCAGTAAGGAGTGTACTTCAAACTTTTTTAATGTGACCATCTTAATTTTCGTGTCATTTAACCTCTAAAAAGTCTATTCGCGCGGCTGTATCTCTTGTATGCAACAGGCCCATTCACGAATGAATGAAGCAAAGGATATGGCTGAACTTCTGTGCATGGCAAGATGCTGAAGATAGCAATATCAAGACATACTCAATGCAATTGCATTTTCATCGAGTCAATTTCTTTTCAATGATATAACGGCATTTACCACCGGTGATTTGGATTTAACAGCCCCAAAATTCCATTGAATTGGCTTTATTATCCAGGAGCTCAACAGAATTTTTTCTTTTTTGGCTTAAATTACTCATCATGTAAAGCTCATTCAATTGTTTTGCGTCAGAAAAGAACGGA